ATTGACAACAAGATCTTGTCATCTTACCATCGAAATGGCCAGATGTAACTGTAAGCTCAATGCTATCAGTTTCTTTTTTCATACTTCTTGCTTATGGAACTCTCTTCCAAATTCTTGCTTTTAAATGCAATGTCAATCATTATCTTCTGTTTTCTTAATTCTTGTTCTTTTATTGTTCTTTCCTTAATTGTGTTTTTTCCCTCGTATTCCTTGCTTGTTGTGAAATGGTAAAAAAAAAAATTTCAACATTGTTAGTTATACATGAGGCATCCTTATTTTCCATTTGTATTTAGAATGATATGTGGCTTAATTTTTATCATTTCTGGCTGCATGCATAATTATTTATATATATGTATACCTACACTTACATCTCCCTAGATATATATTTCTTGGGTAGATGAATGAATGTATATATACATATAAATAAATAAGCATAAACAGCCATCTGGAGCTGGGAATAAAATATTTTTTTTAAATTGGGTTTTATTTAATATATTCATCATCATCATTACTATCAGTCAAATCTCTTTATTTACTATTTCTCTCTAATATAGTTCTTTGTATTTTTTATTTTATATTGTCTATGAATAAGTAATGTCAATCACATCTTAAATAGTATTTTATAGTTAATAACACTTTTTCATTTGTCAGTCTAATAAGGATTACTTTCCTAGATTTGATGGACAAGGTTTTTAAAATGACACATACATACTAAAGCAAAGACTTCTTGTTTTATCTGCCATGTTCTTTCAGGATGTGTGCAATCATGGCTCACCACAACTTTCTATTCTTGTTGATCAAAATAACCTTTAACTCTCTATCTTCTGAGTCCCTTCACACAAAATAAGTGACTTGATATTTTTGATTCTTTTGCCTTCAATAAGTCCTCCAGCCATTTTTCCTCATTATATGCCCCGTAAGTTTCAACTATCTTTTTCTGATTGTAAGCATAAGTTTTCATGTAAAATCTAAGACTACAATGGTTATTCCTGTAAAATGATAGTGTTATATTCTTGTAAGTAGGTGCTTAGAGATTTCTTTTGCATCAGGGTATTTCATCAGTCTGTATTTCTGCTAAAGTTGGCTTATTCCAAATAATATCTATTGTATATAATATTGATACAGAATTCTTTGCAATATATACTATATATATATATATATATATATATATGTCTATTTTTCTGAGATGAAGTATTGTAATTATTTATACCATTTACATTGTTTGGATTGTTGTTCTTATCTTTGTTACCATAATCATAATGTTTCAGCTCCAGCCTTCAGGTGATTGGAATTTTGAACTGAACCCTGTATTTCCGCCATCGAGGTAGATTGTTCTAGTTCCACATTCCATGCCTCTTCTGGATAACTCAGTATTAGTTATTTTCCTTTAAATCATCTCTCCAAGTTTTTGTTCACCTCTGCAGGTATGGAACTCTTCAGGTCAAGTCAGTGGATTACTTCAACCAATTCTTTTATTCATTGGGCCATGGTGGATGAAATAAAGTGTTCAGTTTGAAATTCAAATCTCCTAAAGAAGGCCAGAGCATATAATGGCTGGAGTATACAACAACTGAAAAGTTGTGAATATGGCAACAAAGATGAGAACAATAGTTAAAACAATATAAATAATGTAAATACTGTATATTTGTTTTCATATATATAGCCCCTAGGTCACTCTTTGGTTTGTTTTATCTGCACAATAGAAAACTTATTACCTATAGCCTTTCTTTCTATGCACAGTTTATATCATACTAGACTAAGATAACTGGTGATAGAAGAAGTGATAGAAAAGTTTTGGATATTGCTTTTATAAAATGAATAAGAAAAGTAACTTAAACCTGAATCAAGACATCTTTCTGCTCTGTTTGCTCTCCATTAGGCTACATTACACATTGCCCTAACAGGATCATTGATAGTTTTTGCTGTGCACATCTCTGCTTATTCATCATGAAGGAACTCATACTTGGGCAAAAATATAAAAGCTGAATACTAAAAGATTTTCAAACGTGATGCTAAAAAATTGTATTGATAAAAACTACAAATAATAACAAACCTGTAAATAAAACAACAAAAAAACATAGACATTAATAAAATTGGGTACTTTCATGAATATAATATAGTATTAAAAAGTATAAAAAAAGTATTAAATTAATAACTTTCTTTTAATAGTAATATAAAAATGCTGCTCTCTTCCCAGTCATAGAGCATAAAAACTTGGCTCAAGCCTCTGACAGATGCATATATCAATTTCTCTGCTAAAGATGGGGAATAAGGTTTCTGAAAAGTAAAGCAAAACCTTTGGTGTAACTTAGAAAGTTTTACTGCAGGGAATAAAACCACTTTATAGAATTATTTATTATAAGAATTAGAAAACCCTCTGAAACTATATTTCATGAAGCTGGACCTTCACTGATTCCATTATGAATTCTTGCTATGTTCAACGTCTTTTAACATGGTTATAAAAATGCTATTTGAGTTTGCTCCACTGCAACCAACTTTCTCTAAACTTTCATTCACTTATCTGTCAATAAATCCACTTTATATTTATAAGTTAAAATCTGATAAATATATTAAGGTTATCACGAGTAAAAAATTTGGTTGCTCATCATGAATTATCCAAATATAGAGCTACTGCCAACATTATTTTCTAAGTATTGATAATATATTAAAACTGTGCTCTTGTGTTCATTTATATTCATATTTATATTAATTTTTTTCATCATTTCACACCAATTAAGGTAATAGAGTCACTAAGACACAAGGGGTTATTGAGTATTAGAGTATATAAGAAAGTAAACACACTATTAAGGAGAAAGAACCATAAAAGAACAGGAATTAAGAAGACAAAAGATAACAATTGACATTGCATTTAAATTTTTCAAGATCAAACTTCATTGGGAAGCAAGAAGCCGGAATTGAGTAACACAATCAAAGACTAATTTGAAAAGAAACTGATAGCATAAAATTTATGGTTATATCTTAGCCATTTCAACTGTAAGATGATGAAAATTTGCTGCTAGTACTGTGTTTAAATTTATGAAGTCTAGGTATCAAAGAGGAAATCTTATCAGAACAATTACAATAAAAATATTTATAGAAAAGGCACAGGGAAGCTACATTACGAAAGTGATAAAATGACTGAAGCCGAGATGCCAGGTCACAACCAATAATATTGCAGATTCTTCTTTGTATTTTATCAAGAATCACTAAATATATAGCAGTAGCACTGGACCAGATGTGATAGCAATATTCAAATCATGTGTGAATTGTAGACATTTTATTATGCTCTGAAATCTAGTGGGTGTCCAGATTTTTATCCCATATGTAGTTAACAGTGTTTGTATACATATATATTTGTACGTGTAATGTTATCATTGTACATTACTAATCAAAGCATGAGACTGTATATCTCATAAATATATATCAACTCTAGATAGTTACTGTCACCAGTGGGCCTTTTACAGACATGTATTCTATATTCATATGTGGATCATAGAGACTGTCCTCTCTAGGGTATGTGTTTATATATCTGTGATGTGGTTTTTTCCACATGTGTGCATGACTCAGGTACAACTTGGTTGATCCAGTGTCCACCTGTCAGGACTCAACCACAGACCTCCTTTGAAGCATGTATCAGTACATGGTAGCTAGATCATCTGTTATGCCAACTTAAAGGGCACAGTCCACCCTGGCATTTGAGATAAGTCACTGATGACCATGTGTATGCTTATATATGAATGTTTAGAAAATGAATTCAGTAAATATAAAAAATATAAAGGGGTGTAAGACAAGGATGTGTCTTCTCACTAGACTTATTCAACCTACACAATGAGGTAATTCTGAGAAAATTAGAAGTCCTACAGAGGTTCATTATTGTTGGCTACAATCTTAACATGAGATCTGTGGATGACACAGTGTTGATAGCAGACACAGAAAGGAAACTACAAGCACTCCTATAGAAGGTAGTAAAGGAAAGCAAGAAGAAAGGACTAAACATCAACTGCAAGAAGGTAGAATGCAAGGATTTTAGCAAAAGGAACAGTGCAACATCAAATCACAAATTGAAGATCAACAGAAATGTGATTCTACAGAAGGATGCTGAGAATATCATGTGTTGAACAAAAAGGAAACTTGTACACAACATCAGAAAGAGAGAGTTGAAATTTCTCGGGTACATAATTAGGAAATAAGGCTTGGAAAATTTGGTATTAACAGGAAAGATTAAAGTCAAGCAGTTCAGAGAATAACACTTCATAACATACCTATAGAGCCTAAGTGAATGCATGGCAGAACAGGGCTTAGTAGAGATACCAAAAACAAAAAATATTTAAGAGCTACAAAGACACAGGAAATTGTAGAGAGCCATGTTCACCTATGTCATGAAAGGGCATGGTACATATCAGAAGAAATTTAAGTATTATTAAAAAATATGATTACATAGTTATATTTGTGTATATGAATTTTTATTATGTACAAGCAATATTATTTGCATACAACACACAGTATTAGCAAAAGTGTCATAAAGCGTTATTTTAGGTTTAAACATTTTGGTATGTTAATTATGATTTTATAATTTATAACATTTTATTTGATTTTCAAATATTTTCATTATATATCAACAAATGTCAAAATTGTTTACTTCCCTTGGATGTGTGGGTAGTATAATGGTTATCAACACAGCCAATCAGAATTGCCATGCTGATTTTAAATTCTGTTTGGTTACTTCATGCTAATGACCTTGGAATAGGCATTAATCCCTCTTCTTATGGGTTAAATAGTAGAACAGACTGGGTTCTCCCAGGTTGTAATCAGAGAAGGAAAGCTCAGTTCAAACCCTTGTCAATAATAGGGTAACCTGGGCTTTTTAGCTTTGATAGAGTAACCAACCTGGGAGAAGGACAACTGATAATTAAAAATCAATTTGAGAAACCAACTCACTACCGCTATGGCTGCAGTACATGTGGTCCTCCTATGGATAGGGCCTCTAACCTGATGAAGCTTACAGCCATAACACATTGAAACACCAGTTCTCATACAATCACCAAAGTTAAGCAATGTTGAGCCTGATCAGTACCTAGATGGGAGACCACTTGGGAATACTAGGTGCTGTAAGTATGGATTTGCAGGTGGTGTAATGGATAACAGCCTGGAATTGGAAATCAGTTGGATTCTATATATTCACATATGAGCAAATACCTAAGGTATGAAGCCACCTCATCTCCCCCTAGCTATGGCTTAATTAGTAAGAATTTTATCAGAAAAAACATTACTATCTAAAAAAAGTTTCTTACAATTTAAAAATGTTTTCTGGCTTTAAATAACCTGCAAAAGCTGTAAAAATGAATCGATTAATCTACCCTAATTAATTATAGGATTTGTGATTGTGACTTCATTGTACTTCAGAGCTTTGATGTAAAAACTAATGTCATTATAACCTTCAAGGCAGAAAATGGCTTTATTTGAATATCTAATTTATCTAATAATTTGAATAATTATAAAGAAATTGCATATTTATAACGGTCCCAAAAGATAAAACTGAAAATAAATAACTAAGATTGTCTTTAAAATTTTTATTTTTAAAGTTGGATATGCAAATTAATAATCCCCATTCAGCTGTCAAGTTGGGCAAGAAATGCTGGTAGATATAAATAATAAATCAACATTTGATGTCATAGATTTGGGTAATATTTACATGCATACACACACACACATCTCAAAAAGGAGAAACAACTTTTGATGTGTTGAATTAATTTTCAAGGTTTTTAGTGAACATACTTAAATCTTGTGATTTATATATTAGGCTAAGATATTTAAAGGAATGCCTACTTATTCTGAATACAATACAAGGTCTCTTCAACAAGTCCAAAAATAATCAGCTTTGTTCACAAGATATTTAACTGAATGCCTATGCATTTCAACTGCTTGCACAAGGCTTTTTGAACATGAGGGTCTGAAATGTACAGAGAGCCAAGGTCCCAAAAATAGTCAATTTATTTTTAGAAATTAATATATTTTCAATATATATTGCATATATCTCTCTTTCTATCTCACTACAAAATATGATAAGTTACTAGAATTTAATGTGCTAAAAGGTGAGGAAATTTTTGTAAACAAAGTGCTCATTAATTAATCTGTATTAAGCAACCATGGATTTATCTAACTCTTATGAGCAGTGTATATGTGAAACTTAAAATCAATCACAATATAAACTTTGAACTTTTCATCTGTTGGCTATATATATAGAGATAGATAGATAGATAGATAGATAGATGTGCATGTGTGTGTGTGTGTGTGTGTGCTGTATGCATATGTTTACACTTCATTTAATATTTATTACATTACTATTTAATTCTCTTGTATACAGACAGGATTTTGTTTTCTTCACTTTTTACTTTGTTTTTATTATTTTTTTAAATTTATATTCTTTGAAATATAATTTTTTTATAACGTTTTGATATTCCTACTAATTTGATAGACCAGAACAATGCAAAACAATAACATATGTATAAAACATGATAATAAAACATTTAAAATATTTTGTTTATGAGCTGGGGAATTTGTACTCAGTCAGTTATCGAAAGAAGCTTTCAAAATTAATTTTTTTTCTGGACATGATAATCAAATGATGATGCATTTCCAAAAGTAATTTTATTATGCTGGAATTTTTAGCTGTTTGATTTCAATGAACAATTTAACAAGGAAAATAACTGCATATTTTTTTTACTGAATTTGTTTCAGCAATAAAAACGGTTAAAAAGTAAAACTTTTTTTATAAGTTGCCTGAATAAAAGTTAACATTGATTTTTACTGTGTTAAAATCTATATCATCTGTGTGCGTAGTCAATTTAACAAATAAAATTCAATGAAAAAGATTTAGGGTTGTCAGCGGGTTATATTCAAGAAGAAAAGATGAGGTTTGTAATGTAAATAGTTTTAAATCAGTGTGAATTCAGAAAAGAATAATCATTTATTTTTGTGATCATTGAAATTGAAAGCAACACTTGAATAAAAAAAGGGTTATCTGCTAGCTTATATTATCTGCTATATATTTAAAAATTCTTGATAAAATCCAAAGAAGCTGCAATGTTATCAGTCCTGACCTGGCATCACAGCTTCAGTCAATTTCACACTGCCATAACGTAGCTTTTCCGTGCTTTTTCTGTAACTAATTTCATGGTCATTTTTCCGATGAAATGATTTAAAGAAAAGAATGTAAGTTAAGTTTGTTGTCACAAGATTGCTTTTTATTATTTTGTAAGTTCAGTTAGATGATGACTTAATAGTGATCTTTTAATTCTTACTCAATTTGAATATGTAGTCAGCAACAACTGAGGTGATAAACAAATTTGCATGCAACAGACCTGGACAATTAATATTTTAATTACTTGACTGGTTTTTGTTTCTATACTTACTGAGCATGTATGTATTGAAATAAAACGGTTTTAAATTAATTTATTTCATGCTTTCTTAGTGTTAATAAGTTGCCCTAGCATCATTTTAATCATATTCATTATAATTTAAAACAACTTATTTCAGAAATGGTATGTTTCTGCTTGGTGCAACATTATTATTTATCTTTTATCAATTGCAAAGAGCTGTTCTATGTGTGTGATAGATATAGTAGAACAATTGTAAAAATAATGTAAGGATTGATGCATGAATGGACATAAGTAATAGGTTCTTTTGTTTATCTACAAGGGAGAGGTGCTGAAAATTTCTTGACTCAACCCTCTTCCTCAAATCTGACCAAATGAACAAACATATCATTTTTTGATTCTTTCTAATTTGGCCCCCTTATATTTACATTCAATACATATATAAAATACATAAATATGTATTAACTAAAATTCAAAATTTCATATGTAAATATTTAAGATACATTTCACACACATTAACATTTATCTACATTTAATGGGTAGGTGGCCAAGTGGTTGAAATATTTGCATTCTGACAATGTGAACAAATGTCATTTTTGGTGATTATGTTCAGGTGGTGATTTCTTCATAATATCAGCGTAAGAAGACAATCACAGAGTGCAGAACCATTGAGAAATTCCTGAAAACCATACTATAGCTTAGCTTAAGCCTTGTGAGTAAAACTGGACAAATGAAATTGTCAATGGTTATTCTTGAACAAAGTCAAAAGTCATTGTATCCAAAGGTTTCACTTGTTCAACTACAAATCATATCAGATTATTAACTCGCTCCCCCCCAAAAAAAAACTGTAATTAAGGTATACTCAACATTGCTGCATTATAAGCCAAATGCTGGTTTTATGAGTATTGAAGAAACACAAACTGAGCAGGTATCTGCAACATGGATTGGCTGTCCTCTCTAGAAGATGGGTATACTTGCATGAGAGTATATATAATATATTACCATTATGTATTTTTTTTTTTGTCAGAATCAATCTTATATATTTATAAGTCTGCCATTACATCTGGTCTGGTGCTCCTGCTATATATTGAGTCATTCTTGATAAAATCCAAAGAAGAATCTGAAATGTGATTTGTCCTGACAAGGCATTTTAACTTCAGTCACTTTCCCACATCAATAATGTGGCTTCTTTGTACCTTTTTCTATAAATATTTTCATGGTAATTGTTGGGATTAAATTTCTCTAATGGTACCTAGACTTTATGAATTTAAGTGGAGTAATAGTTTGGAAATAAGGTCTCATCATTTTGCAGTTGAAATAACTACATGTAACCATAAGTTCTATGCTAAAAGTTTCTTCTATCAGACTTCTTACTTCCAGCTTTTCGTGTGCCAGTCAACTTTGATCTTCAAAAACTTAAATGCAATATCAATCGTTATCTTCTGCCTTTATTGTTCTCTCTCCTTAACAGCATTTTATTTTCTCATATTCTCTACTACTCAGTAACCCCTTGAATCTTAGTGGCTTTATTGCCTTGAATGGATTGAAATGATTAAAAAACAAAAAGTATATCCATTTAGATTTATACTTAAATGTTTTCTTGTAATATATACACATAATTGCTGATTTTTTTTTTAAAATATACATATGAATTATCATACTGAAGCTGGTACAGGTTGGGTATCATTTTATCCAAAATTCCAATAATCCAAAAGTTTTTCAGGTGCTGACATGACTTGTCAATAATGGAACATTTTTGGGAACATTCCTAGATGATGTGCAGCTGTTGTAAGTGAACTCATAGTCTACATTGGTGCCAGTTTTTTGTTGGTGATCATCAAAGTAGTACCTTCATTTGTGGATTACTTACCAGGTGTTTTGCACTCAGTAAAGATATTCAAAATGTCAAAAAGTCCAGCATTTATATATTTTTTGTAGGTAGTGATCATGTATTTTGTACATGTACAGAGAGTACAAAACAATCTTAATTTCACCACTTAAAAATCTTGTGATCATGACATGACTAGTATCATTACAGTACATACATGTACTGTACATACACAAAATTTATTAAATTTGATATAAAACTACCTTCAGTTGATATAAAACTACCTTAAGTTGTGTTTATGAAATGTAAAGGGATATTGTGTTTATACTTGGGTTCCATTCCCAAGCAGGCCCCATTTTATAGAATACTATATGCAAATTAAATAGCCTGTATCGCAAAATCTGAAAACTGAAGCACTTCTGGTCCTAAGAATTTTTGATAAAGGATTCTCAACCTGTATATATCTTATGTCAAGTGAGAACTATTAATTTATATTCATATTAATATTTATTTAATATATATGTTGGAAAGTGGTTAAGTATTTTGCCTTACCTGAAATAAATCTTATAGGAATTATATTCTCACTTTAATGATTAAAGTTTTCATAAAAATTTAATTTTATATTTACTTAGAATTTTTTTATATTCTTTTTTCTTTAAAGTTAATACTTATTTATTTCTTTTGATAGATCTGCATATTTATAAACAGAAATAAAATAGAAATCAAAAGATGCCAGGCTGTGAATGACCCATTGACAAATCATCATCGCATTGACTCTCCTTATCTTACATATTCTTGTGTCAATTTAGTAAAACTCAGCCAAACATTTGGCACTTTGATAATAAAAAATAAGCATATTTAAGATGAATTACATCTAATTACAATTAAGATCAATTGTCAGAAGCTCA